GCGATTGCACACAGGACAGAAAGCATTTCGCTTTTCCCCCGCCACCAGCACAAATCCATTCCAGAGTGCTAAGCAAAACGAACAGGACCTGTCGCAGGGGTCCAACTAGAACTTAGAAGTCAACAGCACACACGTTCAGCACCGCAGCGAGCTAGGGTGACAAAATAAATTGGTGGCGATCGAGCTCCACTGCTCTGTCACAGGGACGTAGGAGGGGTTTTGGAAGTGGTACGACCGAAGGTCGGCGCGGCCAAAGGCCGTCCTACGTGTAGGCTACCGTAGTCTACACGTAGGTCTACACGAAGATCTACATTGTACCATGTCGTCATGGTCCAGGCACTGCCACTACTTGGCACTAGCAATAGCATGCCAGTAGCATGCCTGTACTGCACTAGGCAGTCTGGTTACACTTACAGTACTTCGCTTTATTTTACTTCACCAGAACTAAGCACAGGCAAAATCTGACTTCTCATGCTCACTGGGCGTATTGCCGCAGTCTGTCTGCATGCTGTCAGTTCTGTGACGAGCTGTCTTTACTTCGCTGCCTAGGTCTCGCCTGTCAGTCTCCTGGACTCGGTCTTGGTGACTCGGGTCCAGTCCTGGCAGCAACAGCGTACCGCCCTACCACTATGGAATTGCCTTCCACCCAAGATTACCGCTATAGATTTTGTTTCAGAATTTCGGACTCGCGTTCATTATAAACAGCATATATTTGCCTGCACAATTCGCTTCACTAGTATATAAATCAAGGATCATTTTCAAATTTAGGAGATCCCCCCGATAGGCTATGCCTTTGGGAAATCCTTTAAATAAAAAATACAATACAAATATTAACTGGTTTGAGGGAAATACAAATATAATAGCAATAAAGAGAACAAATTCTGCAGTCATCGCCACACTACAACGAAGTCATGAAAGTTTACCAGAATTAAATTTCTTGTCACATTCATCAGTGGAAAGTCGTGACTGAAGAGTAACCATGCTGAACAATGATTAAATATACATTCAATGATGTGTTACGAGAACAAAATACAGTGCCAAAATAGAATGAGGGAAGGTTTGTTCTCGTACCACATCATTGAATGTATATTTAATCACTGTTCTGCATGGTTACTCTTCAGTCACGACTTTCCACTGATGAATGTGACAAGAAAATTAATTCTGGTTAACTTTCATGACTTCGTTGTAGTGTGGCGATGACTGCAGAATTTGTTCTCTTTATTGCTATTATAAAATTGTTGTCTCCACGTCGATTATTTACAATACAAATACCGGTACAATACCATGCCTACTCTACTGACTGTGCTTCCCAAGTGGTTGTCTACATCGCAGTAGTGCATACAATACGTCATGTACATAATGGTGTGGAGCGTCCCCCAGACGATACGGCTGTCTGCTTTGGGAAAGGATAGCTGATCTGAGCTGGAATACTTGACGCGGTGTTTGAATGAAGCGCATTTTGTCTCCTGTGGCTGTGCTGGAGCGCTCCACGGCACCAACAACTGCCACTAACTAGTTACTTGACGTGGCATGCGTCTAGGCCATGACATGGTTACATGCAAAATTAATGATAATAACCGCTTTAGTGTGTTTACACCTCTAGCTCTGCGATCTGCAGTGTGCATTGTGAAAAAAAATTCACGGTTCGCGTGAGACTCGGCCAAAGGCCCAGTTTTCCGCATCCGCAGGAACGCCACCACCCTCTTGGATCAAGGCGCAGATGCAGCTCCTAAGCGGTGGGAGGTGAGTAGATCAGACCCACCACAAAGTGGTCAAAGACCGAAATCCCATTCACTGCATCCATGTTTCCCTCGTGCCAGGCCACGAGTTCCCAATTAACTGTGGGTTGCAGCACGGCTGGAAAAAAATCCTTCCGCTTCCAAGCAGGACTTGAACCTGGTACCCTCTGTTTCTCAATCATGGTCTTAGACCATCCCACTATGCCTGCATGCATTGTGAACATACATTAAAGGGGAAGTGCAGCGATTTTTCGAGTAGGGTCCAGAAGAAAGACAATTTGATATCGGTTCGAGTGGCATATCTCTCGCTTTCATACGATAAGCCAAACTTGCTAAATCGCCAATTGTATGCTCACGTTGCTATAGCGACCAGAGCAGTGATGACGTATGAAAGGCTTAGCTCCTCCACAGAGAAGGTCGATCACTGCATAAATTGGTCATTTTTCAATTGTCTTATTGTATTCACGATGTGAAAGAAGTGCTGTGTTCAATGCTGTTAGTGCCGTGAACTATTTATCGCCCTTCTCATGCATTTCCCTAGGCTGACTGTGCCTAGGAAATGGTTTCCTCCAGGACAAGATGCTTGGAATTCGCCATCTCTCCTGAGACATTTTCAGCAAACTTTCAAACCTACGACATTATTTCATTCGTCAATCTCCACCACCCGTCGTCTCACCTGGCTTCAGAAGATGTTACGAGAGATAGGAGAGTCGCCAGGAAGCATCTCATTCATCTTCAGGAAGTGGAAAGAGCAAACGGCATGGTCCTTGGTTGGGGGAAATGCTGAACGTCTTATTTGTCCCAACCAAGATTTCAGCATTTTGCTCGTCACTATTTTCGCTTGTCTGCTGGTGTCTCCGGACTCCAGCTTTCTCCTGTCGGTGTCACGTCCCAGTGCACAACCGAGAGGACTACTAACAAACAGTTCACTGCACTAACAGCATTGAACACAGCCCTTCTTTCACTTCGTGAATACAATAAACCAATTGAAAATGACCAAATTCTGCGGTGATCGACCTTCTCTGTGGTGGAGCTAAGCCTTTCGTACGTCATCACTGCGCTGGTTGCTATGGCAACGTGAGTATACAATTGGCGATTTGGCAAGTTTGGCTTATCGTATGAAAGCGAGAGATATGCCATTCGAACCGATATCAAATTGTCTTTCTTCTGGACCATACTCGAAAAATCGATGCACTTCCCCTTTAAATTTTTTCGAGGAAGAAAAAGGACCAGTGAAGTACAAGTACGAATTAAGCGGGATTCACAGAAGCTTTTCGCGATGCGACACGCGATGCGACAGACGCGAAACCGGGAAAACCTCAAATCGCAGCCATGTCGCACCCCACGCAACTGCCGCATCTGGGCCTTCGCAGGCTATCGCAGAAGTTGAGTTTTGCGATGCGATGCGATTTCAAAGGTTCAAGAGTTGCCTATAAATTTGTACAAGTTGTATCAAACCGCGCGAATATCATGGTGACGTACCCAAATCAGCAAGACTTTGTCGCATCGCTGACTTCTTCTGTGAATGGTATTTCGCGAGTTCGCATCGCACGCTTCTGTAGCGACCTCGCTGCATGACGTCAGCTCCCTCACCAGATATACGCATGCGCATGACACATTTCTTCCTCTTTGCTCTAAAATAAACAACAACTAGACAAAGTTGCCCTCTCCTCGGAGTTGTAATTTATTAGGCCCCAGGGTGGTATGTCCCGGGATTCATCTGTCTCCCCCGTGAACAGATACGACCTCTGCCATCCTGGGTGCCTAAATTGGTGACCCCTGACGCTGCGCTCGCGGAGTATTTGTAGTTTTTGACTTTCCGGATTTGGGAATTTGTGGTGCCTCTCGCCGCCCACCCGCCCTTGGTACACCTGGAGCTGCTGCGGACTACGCCCTCCTGCCGCCGCCATCCGTCGTCATGCTGTTTCCGCCCGTCAGCCTGCCAGCCATCACTGGTTTTCGCCGCAGTGACTGAGTCCGTTCCTGCGTGCACCGCATTCTGGCTGCCTGTCAATCACCGGCTGTTGACATTAAATTTGAGCCTCAACTTCCGCACCTCACCGCCTGGATTTGGAGCAGCTGTGGAGCAACCACCCTCCAGCACCCAACACCTGAATCCTAACACCACCAAAGAGGCAAGTGCCGCCATTGCACCTAACTGTAACTCGTCGGACTTAATTGGCTCTGCTGTAGTACAGGCATCCAACAGCTAGCACCCCCCCTCCCCCCCCCCCCCCCCCCCACTGCAAATTGGCTCTGCTGTAGTACAGGCATCCAACAGCTAGCGCCTTGGCAAATTGCACTGCCCCACTATGCTATAGTCATCTAGCACTCAGCTTCACACACTTCTCAGCCGGCAAGTTAGCCCATTGATTACGTATCAGGGGTCCCGCTAAGCCTTACACTTGCTTCCGCCTGCATCCACCTTAAATTCCCATTATGCTTTGACCAGTCTGCATTGAATATTGTTTGCCTGATGATTGCACACAGTGCATGAAACTCGGAGTAGCGAAATATTACGAGTGATCCATTGTTTGTTGACATGTATATATATGCTCCTGCTCTTGTAGCAGTTGAGCACTCTTGCGTGGGGTAGTGCCTTTGCTGTTTGCGTTATGCAGAGCTCACTGACTTGTCAGTTTGAGCACTCTGGCAAGGTACGTTCGGGCCTGATTGGAAATTTTTATTTCCATTGCTATCAGGTTCGGCCTCATTTCCTCTGTGCTGCGCTGACGAGTCCACAAAGGACGAAACAGTTCTGTCCGCAGATTGAGTATATATATATATATATATATACTCAATCTGCATATATATATATGTGAGACATGTCAGCGATTCTCGGAAAGGATCAAGCAGCATATCCCAGACAAGCTGTACAAGAAGCCGCCTGACAAACGTGTGGCAACAAGTGATAGCGCCATCACAAAGCATTTGCAGGCGCAACCTGAATGCATCCCGCAGGAATGCAACAGCAGCTTCAGTGTGATCACACCAGCCCGGAACAGCGCGCACAGATTCACACTGGAGGCGCTGTACATTCGCAGTTTGAGGCCAGAGCTGTGTCGACAAAAGAAGCACATCAAGGTGCTACGGCTGTTCAAGCTGCAACCGGACTGACAACTTTATCACGTATTTGTTCTGGTACTGCATTCCCCTCATGTGTTGTTTCCCGCATTTTTCCACTGCTCCATACATTCTTATGGTAGTGTAGTGTGAACTTGAGGCGCGTAAGAATATTCTTGCTGATTCTCTACCCCCAGTATAAATTCTGGCTTCGTTTTCGTTCTTGCTCATTCCCATGTAACTACTGATGAAAATGGGTGAAAAGCTTTTAGTATTATGAAATTGACAACCTTGTTGTTGTGTGTATATAAATTTTGTTCGCCTACATCTCTATATATATATATATATATGCACACAACAACAAGGTTGTCAATTTCATAATACTAAAAGCTTTTCACCCATTTTCATCAGTAGTTACATGGGAAT